CTTATTTGCCACTGCCCTGTCTGTTATTATATACCAGACATTGAACAAATATGAATCTTGACTGGTTTTGACAGTATAGTCTTATTTGTATCAAGAGTCTACTAGATGCAAGGAAGAAAAAAAGAATACCTTATAATATCAGTTTTTAAGCAAATCAGTTTTATATCTGGATTGGTCTTTTTTTTTTTTTAAGAGAGAAGAGAGATTTTTTTTTTAAATATTTAGTTTTCAGTTTTCAGTGGACACAACATCTTTATTTATTTTTTTTTTTCATGTGGTGCTGAGGATCGAACCCAGTGCCCCGCGCATGCCAGCCAGGCGTGTTAGCGCTTGAGCCATATCCCCAGCCCGGGATTGGTCTTTTTTTTTTTTTTTTTAATTTATTTTTGCATTACAATTCTTAACTGGATTGGTCTTATAATTCAAAAATTATTAAATTTCATTTGGGTGTAGTAGAACACCCTGTATTCACAGCAAACTCAGAGTTTGAGGCAAGAGGATGGCAAGTTCAAGACCAGCCTCAGCAACTTAGTGAGTCCCCCAATAACTTAAGAACTAGGGATGTAGCTCAATGGTAAAGCACCCTTGGCTTCCTCTAGTATGCCCCCAAAATCACTTATTTAAAAGTCTCTTAATTGAATGCTGTTCTGACTCTGTGTTCCTCCTGATCTCATTTTTATTTGAGTGAAAATCSTCTTTTGTCCATTGACTTAAGCACAGGCTCAGTTACATGTAGGAACTAAAGAAAAGGGATTTATTCTGGAAGGATCTACCATTTTTGGAAGAGAGAGACTAAGCATATAATCTGTTTTCTGTTTTGTTAAATGTCCCAGCTCAGGTATGGTATTCTGATTTCTTCCCCCACCCCTAGCCAACTGCTCCTCCTCTTTTCCAYCTATGTAAAATTTGAATTCTGTGTTGACATTTCTAAAAGTTATACACTTTAGTTCATCTAATCCATCTGATGGTAAGAATTATTCTTTATCTAATGGTTATGGCTAATGTCCTTCATTGGTGCACTTAATACTATACTTTGTAAATGGATGGATTTTAGGAACAGCCTGGGCAGGTTGAGATTAAGAATGAGTGTGACTGTCTAGATGTGATAGGACATGACATCCTAGCTACTCAGGAGGCTGAGATAGGAAGAACATGTTCAAGGCCAGCCTGAGCAACGTAGTGAGACCCTGTCTCAAAATAAAAATTAAGCCAGGCACAGTGATGCGCACCTACAATCACAGCTACTCAGGCTAAGGCAGGAGCATCACAAATTAGAGGCCATTCTGAGTAACTTGGCAAGACCCTGTCTCAAAATGAAAAATAAAAAAGGACTGGGAGTTTTGCTCAATGGTAAAACKCCCTTGAGTTCAATTGTCAGTACTGAAAGGGAAAAAAAAAAAAAATTTTTTAAGCTCTAGGGATGTAGTTCTGTGCTAAAGTATTTGCTTAGCATGTGGTAGGCCCTCGGTTCAAGCCCTAATACACAAAAAAGAAAGAATGAGTGTGATACAGACAAGTCTTAGTAATATAGTCATATTCAGACAAGTGGATTTCTGGTAGAGCAAAACTATGAGCATGAATAACCTTTAAAAAATCTTAATCTAGTATGGTAAAGACCCTAGGAGAGGGCTGGGAATATGGCTCAGTTGTAAAGTGCTTGCCTCACATGCACAAGGCCCTGGACTCAATCCCCAATTCCTCCCCCACACAAAAAAGACCCTAGGAGAATRAGTAAACAAGGCATGTTTAAGGTTTCCACTATAGACCAACATCAAAGAGTGTCTTAGTCCATGTTGTATCACCATTAACACTACCATAGACTAACTAGTAAGTTAAAAGAAAAAAGGTTTACTTTTTGGCTCATGGTTCTGGAGGGGCAAGGTCAAGGTACTGCATCTGATCATGACCTTCTTGCTGGCAAAATCCCCGAGTGGTGCAGGGCATGTTGTGACAAAGAACAGGGAATATATGYGTGTTTATCAGACTGTCTTCAGTTTTCTTCTTCCTCAGGATTCAATCTTAGGGGCCTTATCTAAACACAGTCACTTTTAAAAGCTCTCACCTCTAAACACCTCAGAGGGATTAAATTTCCACCTTCTTGTTACTTCACAGTGGATATAAATTTCAACATATGAACCTTGGGAGACACCAAGCAATATCCAAACTACAGCACAGGGTTAGGGCAATAAAGAGGGTGGTCTCTAAATTCAGGATTCAATTATGGCAATAAGAGTGGTTCTAGGGGCTGGGGTGGTGGCTCAGTGGTAGAGTGCTCGCCTAGCATGCATGAGGCACTGGGTTCGATCCTCAGCACCACATTAAAAAAAAAAATGTATCCACCTAAAACTAAAGATATATAAATAAATAATTTTTTTTTAAAAGAGTGGTTCTAAATAAAATTTTCTGAAAGGAAAATTTCCTGAAAGGAAAGCTTTCTGTATTTCAAAAGAACTGCATGTATTACAGCAAGGCCTGATTTTCCCCATATAAAGCTACATACTTAATCTGTTCTGTAAATAGTGATAATTTTCCATTCTCTATACAACTTGTTTTTTACTCCTATAATCATTTTTTGAATRAAATACAGAGATAGTCTGTCACATTCTGTTGCCTACAACTTTATGGGAAGGTAGAATCTTTCTGAAGTCTGCTTTTGCATACAAATTTATATAAAAACAAAATTTGTGTTCTATCCTAAATGTTTAAGTTCCTTCCTGCACATTGCCAAGTTGAAAAAGTTCAAGAAATGCTGTTCCAAAAGTATGCTGCTTTACTTTGAGTTTAAATTAAGGTACTTGAAAAACTACAAATGTGGGGAGAGGCTTTCTCTGAACTCCTCATGTCTTACTATGGATAGGTCCTCCAAAAGGAAATTATCTGTCRTCAGTTCCCACCCAGGGAGTGCGATCAACTATGGAAGATTAACATACYAGGGGAAAAGAAATCAATACCATATCCAGACAGATTTTATCACAAATTTTCATAAATCCTTCTAAGGGCTTGTTCATCTTTCCTCAAAATCATTCACTCTCCAAAGTTTGTTGTCTACATCCCCCTAACTCTCTTCTCCTAGGAAAAGGGTATATATGCTCGTAAGTCTCTCTGGTGCTTTGGTATTTACTACCATGCATGGTAATAAGTTTTGTGTACCTTTCCTCCTATTAATCTGCTTATTAACAGTTAATTTCATAGACAGTTTTCACATCCTCAGAGGGTAGAGAAAAAGTCTTCCGTCCCCTACACAAATATTTCCTACAATGCTTGTATAAGTGTCACAGTTTTTTGTGGTTGTTTGTTTTTTACTTTGATTACACTCAATCACAAAATTAGTGATTTCATTTTAGGCAAACTCAAAAAAGTATACATTTCTTTAATTGTCTTTCTTCTCATAGCTCAAATTGCTTCATGAAGATAAAGCTGTCCATTAGACTACTTGAAAATCTTTTGAAAAAGATCAATAGAATCTAGTGTTAYGGTTCTCCTTAATGCACATCAATTGTGTGCTTATTTTTCATAAGGCACTACACTTAATATTAGGGGTACCATGACTAAAGGGTGCAGAATCTTTGGCCAGAGTTTTAAAAACTTTTCTTTATTAAAAAGAATACTTAGCATATTGGTAAATTAAAGAGGCAGGTAAACCAGGTATTGTGTCACAGCTATGTAATCCCACTACCCAGGAGGCTGAGGCAGGAGAATCACAACTGTGAAGACAACCTGGGCAACTTARACTCTGAGTCTATCTCAAAATAAAGTTGTATAGATAATAAGGGAATGAGGATGTAGTTTATTGGTAGAGTGCTTGCCTAGCATACATAAGGTCCTAGACTCAATTCCCAGTACTGGGGTAGGAGGCAATGAACATTCAATTTGATAACATTTCCTCTTCTTATGACTTGGAAATGACATTTTTATTTCTATTTTGTTTGTCCAGTCAATACTTTTTTTACATGTGTTCTCCATAAAATTCCTTCTTACACTCAAAGGTTGTATTCTGTATGAATGAACTCTGGATTCAGACTATCTGCACTCAGAATTAAGGTTCTTTTATCTAAAGTAGAAGTGGAAAATAGAAACAATGATACTACCTTTTCAAAGAACATCTTTTTTTTTATATTTATTTTTTAGTTGTAGTTGGACACAATACCTTTATTTTACTCATTCATTTTCTATGTGGTGCTGAGGATCAAACCCAGGGCCCCACAAGTGCTAGGTGAGTGCTCCACCGCTGAGYCACAAYCTCAGCCCCTCAAAGAACATCTTTTAAGTGTTCCTTTAATAAGTGTCTGCCAGTATTCTTGTTCTTGAAAAATGATTTTTTGAGCAAATACTTTTTTTTAATGTTTTTAGTTGTAGATGGACACAATGCCTTTATTTAATTTATTTATATGTGATGCTGAGGATCAAACCCAGTGCCTCACACTTGCCAGGCAAATGCTCTACCACTAAGCCACAATCCCAGCCTGCRTATATTCTTGATATTATTTTGTCTTGCCTGTTTTGAATGAATTACTCCTGTCTTCATTTTTGCAGTTGAGAAGTGAGGGTTAGTCTAATTGCCCTTTCTTTGCATTTTGTGAGATTATTTTTTTATAATAGGCATAAAATTTACAGAGTGTAATATATAACACTGCATGAGTTTTGATGCTAATAACTACTACCACTATCAAAATGTAAGTATTTCTATCAACAGGGAAAGTTATATTCATTTCTAGGCATTCCCTACCCCACTCAACCATAGTCATGCAGTGATCTGATTTCTGTCACCTACTATATTTGCTGTTTTTATAGATTTGGGGTGTGTATAAGTGCTGGGATCAAACCTAGGACCTCACACATTCTAGACAAGTCCTCTACCACTGAGCTACATCCCCAGTCCTATAGTCTGTTCTTTATTATTTAATGGTCAAAACCCCACATTCTTGGATATCACATTTTCAGCCTTTAATTGGGTGGCAGTTTCCATGTATTTACTTTTATTCTTGTGTTTTCTTTTTTAGGAGTGGACCTACCCTATGAGACGAGAGATGCAGGTATGACAACTTTTTGTTTGTTCAAGCCAACTCATGTTATTATTATTTAATAACCTTCCTTCACAAAGGATTTGAGACCTGCTGGCTCATGACCTATATAGGCTTATCATTAAGTACTATAAATCTTAACTGTGTTAAATATATAAGATTAATCTTGACTCTTACAGAGATGAGAATCACAGAYATGTTTACCTTGATTTGAACATTACACTGTATATTTTTTAAAAATCACATGGTACGTAATCTAAATACATACAATTTTTATATGTCAATTAAATTTTTTTAGTTTGAATATGGGAAGTGAATTTTTACCTTTCTTCCTTAGATTATCAGGAACATAGTAACATATGTATATGTTTAATTAGAGTCACTTTCCCTCATCTTAAGAGTGGAGGGCCTGGGGTTGTAGCTCAGTAGTAAAGTGCTCACCTAGCACATGTGAGGCACTGGGTTCAATCCTCATTACCATATAAAAATAAATAAATAAAATAAAAATATTGTGTCTACCCACAATTAAAAAAAAAAGAAAAAGAACAATAGAATGGAATACAATATTTGTATTCCTTTTGAAAGCAGTTTGCTTTTTCAGTCTTGTTTAGATAATTTCAGGAGAGTTAACTATAAAGCATATTCAGTTTTTAAAGTTATTCATTTTTGTATCTGATTTCTTTTCAACATGCATAGCTAAGTTTTCCAGAAGAGTGAGTAGAATGCTTCCARTTTGAAATGAATTTAAGAGGTAGCTAATGTTCATAGCAGTTCCTTTTCTTTTGTATTTCTTAACATTTGCAGCCAACTCTATCAGCCCCAGGTTCAAGTGATGTCTCTCATTCCTTGGAATCCCTTAACTTCTAAAAAYCTATTATCTTTTCTCCTAATAAAAATTCACTTTTTAAATACATGTAAGTAGATATGAGTCATTTTGCTTACTGCTGTAGAATGCAAAGATGAGTAAAATATAATTCCTGCCAATACAAAGCTGGTAGGAGAAATAAGTCTTATATACAAATAATTATAATCATAATGAGTATGTTTCTACTAACTATAGATAGTGGTGCTAATTTATCTTGTGCTGCTTTTGATTTGTCTGACTAAGGCTTTGTGTAATTCCAGATTTGCTTTATACCTGTTATTTCTGACTAGAGCAGAGAATAGAAGTAAAATCAAAGAGATCTCATTCATCTAAAAGGCAACAATCAGTGAACTAATCCTACCCAAGCTGCTTATAAAAAGCACTGAAAGTATAAATACATGACTTTTCAAACCTAGATTTAAACTTGGGATATTTCACTTGACATTATAAAGCACATCTGCATTTCTCTTCTCAATCATTTGCTCCATGTGGCTAGGAAATGCCCCCTAACTAATAAACTTTTAAGCAAATTATTATAACAATTATGAAAAAAATTCACAAATCCATATTTATGGCACATATTTGGTATAGACTTAAATTGCTAATGTTAATTTTTTTTTTCCTAGGAAATTTTACCTGGATTATTCTTAGGCCCATATTCTTCTGCTATGAAAAGCAAGGTATGAACTTTAGGTTAGGTTCATCAAGAGACTTTAAAAACGTATGTTTCTTGGGTAATTTTTTTAGTAATAWGAATTTTCTTTTAGAGAACATTGACAAATACTATCTGTTAATAGTTGTTGTCACTCTGTAGTATCTGCCTCATTCCTARTTTTACTGGGCCAGTAATTCTCAAGTGTTTCATCACAAAAGAGTTTTTCTATTATATTTTTCTCATGAAATCTGTGTGTTTTAAAGATTTACCAAATTGACTCTTAATAACTTGTTTATTTTCTGAAAATATTTGACATCTGTAATTGTATGAGATATAATTAAATCCCAAAATCAGAAAATTTAAAACCCATTTTGACCCATTGAATATTATAATATATGAGCTCTAGATTATTATTTCCARCCTATTAATGTACCTATGTTGGTTTTATTGAAATATTTATAAAATTGAAAACTTGGAACTTAATGGGTTAAGATTTTAGTTAACCCTTCTCCATCAAGGGTAGGAATATGTGTTTCCTAGTATATAAGAGACAGATTTAGGCTCTTGGTAACTAGTAAACTATTTATTTTTGTCAAATTTTTCTATTGTTTGGGTTGGGGGTATAGTAAAGTGCTTACTTTGCATGCATAAGACCCTGGGTTTAATCCCCAGCACCACAAAAAAGGAAAAAAAAAATCTATTGTTTGTAGTTATAAGGTCAAAACCTGCTTTATATAAGCAAATCCACTGAAAAGTATAAAATACTGTTTGCTATTACATACGTAAGAGTTCTATTTTGATAAGGTTTTCTTTACCTATTAATAGTATAATATGCCTTCAAATCTTGTTAAAACAGGCTTTTGTCCACTTGTAGTTTCTCATATAAATAGAGTTGATGTGAAAACTCCAAAGATCATCAAGTGTAAACAAAGGAATGAATATTGAATTCATTTTGGAGGTTGACATAAATGTAAATATTGAACATTGGTTAATTATTAATTTTACCAAACACCTCYTGTCCACTAACTCAGGATGTGTTCAGGAAATACAAAGATAATTGAACTCTAGTCTATGCTGACATGAGAAAATTTGGTACAAAATTAAYATTGAAAATCATTATCTTAATTAGGGCTGCTTTAACAAAATACCATAGACTGAATGGGTTTAATAGAAATTTATTTCTCATAATTCTCATAAGTCTGAGATCATGGTGCCACTATGATCCAGTTCTAGTGAGAGCTCTCTTCTAACTTGCAGATCCCTTCCTATTTGCAATACCATTGCATTGCCAATAGAGAGAGTTCTGAGTTCTTTTTCTTGTAAGGATGGTAATCTCTCCTGGAAGTTCTACCCTCATGACCTCATTTAAACCTAGTTACCTCCCAGATGTTTAACCTCCATCACATTTTGAGAGCAAGGGGTTCAACATATGAATCTGAAGAAGGGGACAGAAACATTCAGTTCATAACATATATAAATTGTTCTTTGACTTCTGCCATGAATTATTATTGTTCAAAGGTGTTAGAAAATTTAGGTTATTTTGATTCCTCATGCCAGCATGATTTGCTCATTTATCAAATAATTATTTTTTTGATTAGGCACGGTGTTACATATCTGTAATTTCTAAGGCAAGAGGATAGCAAGTTCGATGTCAGTTCAATGTCAGTCTCAACAATTTAGTGAGGTCCTAACCAACTTAGTGAGAGCCTGTCTCAAAATAAATAAAAAGGGCTGGGGCTGTAGCTCAGTGGTAAAGCACCCCTGGGTTCGATCTTTAGTACCAAACCAAAAAAAATTTTTTTTACACGTAGGTGGCACTGTGCCCATCCACAAATAATTATTGAACTTACTTATTATGCTTTCTTAAAATTATTACCTTACATAATTCTCAACACTGTTTAGTTAATAGGTAATATTTTCCTCATTCTCACGTGATGGAATTGAGCTACAGCATACAGGTCATTAGCAGAGCTGGGATTTCTAGTTTTGACTCTCATGACTTAAACCCCATGCTTTTAACCACTGTTTAATCTGTTTTCCAAGTAAATTGTCTTTAGCGTCSCATGAAGCTCTAGAATTATACATATAAAATATCCATGTTAGCCTTTTGAGGACATTATCCTTGAATCATCAMACTGTCTTGCTGATCATTTCAGGTAAATTTTCATATAATTAACTTTTTATACTGTGTTTCTTCCTGTCTCTTCATTTTTTACAGCTACCTATACTACAGAAACATGGAATAACCCATATAATTTGTATACGACAAAATATTGAAGCAAACTTTATTAAACCAAACTTTCAGCAATTGTTTAGGTAAGAAGTATTGCTATGAATTATAAAAAATGTTAAGGTTAATAAACATGTATAGTCCCTATAGGTTTATTACACAGACTTTTTTCTGTATGTATCTATTTAAATATTTTTTCTTTCTTTTTTTTTTATATTTGTAGATGGACAGTATACCTTTATTTTATTTATWTATATGTGGTGCTAGGGATTGAACCCAGTCCCTCACATGTGCTAGGCAAGCACTCTAACATGGAGCTATAGCCCCAGCCCCTATATATATCTGTTTTGTAATGATGGAGCATACAATACATAATTTTTAAAACAAAATTTATTTAAAATATTTAAATCATGCTCATGATGCAAAATTTTAAAGGTTTAAAAAATGTATACTGAAGAGGAGGTTTCTGTATACTGTTTCTGTTTCTCCTAGAAACTGTTTCCCTCCCAAATATATCTACTGTTACCTCTTCATTGAGTATTCTTTCAGATTATATGTTAACTTATACAAGCATATTACTATAAACTTTTGTTTTTATGCTGTTTTTTTAAGAGTATTTCATAYCAGTACTTACAAAGCCATCATCTGGCTATAGTAAAATTTATTCAACCAGTCTCTTGTTTTTGAACATTGAGATTGTTTCCGGACTTTCATAGAAATAGATGTAGATATAAATATAGATATTGTATATTGATTATCCCTGTATATATCATTTAATTCATATATGAATATACTAACAGAATATATTTGTAGTAGTAGAATTGCTGGATCTAAGAATATGAGCAGATTAAATTTGATAGATAATACAAATTGCTGTCCAGTGAGTTGTATTAATTTATAGTCCCACTGTTAAGTGTTAAGAGTATCTTTTCTGTATTTCACTAAGACAGAATTATACCAAGAGAGAATTTTAAGAGAGTAAAAATGGTGTTTCATTCTGTTTTAATTTGGCTTTTTCATGTATCTTCTGATAAGTCTAGTGGTTTTTAAAATTCTACTATGCTCTGCTTTATTCTTTATAAAAATTACTATAGCCTATGAATATCCATAAATACAAGGTACTCTAAAACATAGTTTATAAACATACAATAAAATAATATGTAACCGATAAAAGAATAAAATTGTGTGTTCATAGATATTTGACATATTCAAAATGGTATCCACAATTTGGTCTGCAGAATTACTTTTAGGATACAGTCATTGTTGGAATCCTTCGGTTTTATACATTGGATATTCCTTGGATCTTGGGATTTAACCTTTCTGTTTTAAAACCAGAATTTTTTTGAAATTGTTACCACCTAAAGGATTGTTAAACTAATTTCATAATTTAGTTACCTACAAAGAAGTGACCTTGGATAGGTTAGAGATGAGAGTTTTCACAAAATGGAATAAACCTAGCATGTTGATATGGCCTTATTTTAAAGGTTTTCTAAAGTAAAATTCAAAGTCCCGTGTTGTGGCACACACCTGTAATCCTAGTGTCTCAGGGGACAGATTTTGTTGTTTTTTTGTGGGGGGTAGGAGGACAGTGGGTCTGCCTTTTTCAGACATTGGGCTCCTGTTGAAATATTCTTTGTCTTTTTGGGGAAATGGTCACAGAGTCATTCAGAGAACAATCTTCTGGTCTTAAGAAAGTTGGTAGAAATAGAAGGCTAATAGTAAGAATTATGGACATGTTTTTGTCTTTATTTTCTAGATCCACTGTGATCTAAAGGAAAGTTTCTTTCCTGATTGTGACATTTTTGTTTTAACAAAATTTTTGTACTAAAGTATTAAGAGAAATGTTAACATGTTTTTAAGGAACATGTTTTTTAAGGCTTTAAGTGCTCTACTGTCATGCAATATCTATCAACCTGTTCTTAGAAATATGATACATTGAAAATTATTTTGTATTCTTTTTATAATTACARAGAAATACTCGGGGCTGGGGATGTGGCTCAAGCGGTAGCATGCTGGCCTGGCATATGTGCGGCCCAGGTTCAATCCTCAGCACCACATACAAAGATGTTATGTCCGCCAATAACTAAAAAATAAATATTAAAAACTCACTCTCTCTCTCTCTCTCTCCTCTCTCTTTAAAAAAAGAAATACTCAAAGTTAATTTCTTTAGAAATAAAAGAGCTTTACCTGAAAGTGTGCTTATCATAAAATATTCTATTTTCAGATATTTAGTCTTGGATATTGCAGATAATCCAGTTGAAAATATCATACGTTTTTTCCCTATGGTAGGTATCATATATTTTAATATCATTAAAATTTAACTTCATTTTGACTGAAAATTGTAGGATTATTTTTGAAAGGAAATAAATTGTTCGTTCACATTTTTTAGCTCCTTTACAGTTTTTGAAACTTGTAATAGTTATATTTATATTATTTTAGAAATTCATGAATTAAGAAATTAATTGTTTTTTATTCAAGCAAAATAACAGGAGCCAGGTACCTTGATGCACGCCTATAATGCAACTACTTAGGAGTCTGAGGCAGGAGAGTATACAGTTTGGGGTCATCCTCATCAGTTTAGTGAGAAYCTGCCTCAAAAAGTAGAAAATTTGTAAAGGACTGGTGTATAGTCAGTAGAAAAACATCTCTAGGTTCAGTTCCCCATTATAAAAAAAAAAAATTACAGGAAATTGTTTTCAGATTTCATTTTGTTTCAGTGTATTTTATGTCACTTATGTTAATCTTACATGCTTTATTATAACATTGTCTTTTGCTTTCAGAGTAAGGAATTTATTGATGGGAGCTTACAAACTGGAGGTAAATAATGTTCCTTTCATTAAGCTAATTATTTTTAGGAAATTATTTGTTAAATTAAGTTTTTAGTGTGTTTTTACCTTAAATTCARGAAGTTTTAGTTATATATAACAGAGTGTCTCCAAATTTATATTTTCCCATATACTTGTTCATTTGGATAGGGTTTTAAAAACATGTTTATTAGAACTAGTGTCAAATTCTTTTTGAGCTTTAAATTTCTTTTAAAGTCTGTGGTATTTTCTGTACAGTAAAAGATTTGAAAATTAATAAATATTCAGGTGGCATGTATATGACCTAAAATGTTTAAGGAAAGATTTACTGTAGTTTGATATGTGGTTTCAATATATGTTAGCTGCTGACTTGTGTTTTTCTATGAAAATAACTAGTTCTTATTTTTTTAGGAAAAGTTCTTGTCCATGGAAATGCAGGGATTTCCAGAAGGTATGGAGTTAGAGATAATCTTTTTTTTCCTCTAATATTTGAYTGATGAGTTGTGTTTTCTAAATTTCTTTTCTCTGTCTTTAGTGCTGCCTTTGTTATTGCATATATTATGGAAACATTTGGAGTGAAATACAGGTAAGAAAGTATGTTAAAATGAAGCTTAGTGGTTATGGTCGTGAGTTTGAAGTAAACATGTTTTTCTCTAATATTTATATTTGATAAGCAGTAGCTTATAGCCCATGGTTACTCTCTTAACCTAATTCATCTACCTTGTATAGATTTTCTTAGGCTAATGTTTTTGTGGTTTATGGAGCTAATACTATGATTTTAAGAAGTCAAGGTAACATTATAGATGAAATAGCGAACAAGACTACTTACTTTCCACTAGGGAATGAGTTAATCTCAAGTTTAAAAACTCTTGGACACGTATGTTAGTGGATGCCTTGTTTAAAAGGCTAATTTATTATGTTTTATTAATAAGTTAAGAATTATTTGTAGCACCTATAATTCAGAGTAGTATTTGTTTTATATTTATTTATTTTAGGTATAGATGAACACAATACCTTTATTTTATTTGTTTTATTTATTTTTTAATTTTTTTTTAAAGAGAGAGTGAGAGAGAATTTTTAATATTTATTTTTTTTACTTATCAGTGGACACAACATCTTTGTTTGTATGTGGTGCTGAGGATCGAACCCGAGCCGCACGCATGCCAGGCGAGCGCACTACCGCTTGAGCCACATCCCCAGACCTTATTTGTTTTTATTTTTATGTGGTTCCAGGGATCCAACCCAATGCCTCACACGTGCTAGGCAAGTGCTCTACCACTGAGCCACAACCCCGACCCTCAGAGTAGTATTTCTTATTAAAAGTCATCTTTTCCAGCATAGTACATAGATTTTTAAAAGGAAATGGCCTTCTTGACCCCCCCCCAAAAAGCAAATATCTAACCAGTGTATAAGGCACACTTCTCTGTTTTGTGCAAGGTAGAAATCTTTTTATCAGTGCCACTTCCATTTCATGCTTAAACATAAACATTTGCTTAAAAGTATCAAGTCTTAAGGAAATATTTGAATTTAAATGCTTTTTTTTATTTAATGGAAAAAGATTCAATTAAAAGAATTTCATTTATATGTTAATGTATATGTTCTTTTTCTATTTTGATTCTTATCAGTAATATTATTAATATTGAAAATAACTTCCATGGATTCTATTGTGTCCAATATTATTATAGGCTCTTTTATCTCATTTAATTCTCACAATTCAGGGGAATTAACTTCTCATTTAACCAATGGTAATATTTTGAGCATGTGTACTAAATGCATAAGCTCTTGCTGTCTTRACATAGGTTCTCCAAAATAAGTATTCTAATATTCATTTTACCAAGGAGAAAAATTAAGCTTAGAGAAGTTGAACACCTAGAACATATCGTAGGTTAGCAAAGGGATTATGATGTTTAGTCCGACTGTGCTCTTTCCACTGTTGACTCACTACTCCAATGTGTTAATTATATAGTTAATGATTTCCTATTTAGGGAAAGTTTCAGATATTTTGATAAATTCTGAAATGCTCAAACAATTAATTAAATAATAACATTACATTAATTTTCTTTTTCTGTTTTTTAAGAGATGCATTTGCTTATGTCCAAGAAAGAAGATTTTGTATTAATCCAAATGCTGGATTTGTCCATCAACTTCAGGTAGCTAACTTCTCTCTTCTTTATGGCATTCAGAATATATAATAGTTAAGATCTTTTGTCTGTAAATTCAGTTGTAGAATTTACTTTTTAAGTGCTTGGAGTTTGCATAACCTCACTAATTTGATTATTGTTCAAGTTTACACCTCTGTTTGAAAGTATATTTTTAAAGGTGCTGTTATCAAGAAAATGGAATTAAAGACACATTGTTAAATCTAACATTAAGGGGCTGGTGTTGTGGCTCAGCGGTAGTGTGCTCTCCAAGCATGTGTGAGGCCCTGGGTTTCATCCTCAGTACCACATAAAAATATATAAATAAAATAAAAGTATTGTGTCCAATTACAACTAAAATATTAAAAAAATATATCTAGGGTTGGGGTTGTGGCTCAGTGGTAGAGCGCTTGTCTAGCATGTTCGAGGCACTGGGTTCGATTCTTAGCACCAYATATAAATAAGTAAATAAAGGACCATGAACAACTAATAAAAGATATTTTTTAAAAAATCTAACATAAAGCAATGGATTTTTTTCCCTGTATTTTGATCATACACAGGGCATAAGATTATTTTGACTCAGTACTGGTTGAACAGCCCTAATTTGAAAATCTTAAATCCTTTAGTATTCAGAATTTGTTTCATATTCAGTTTCGAGATTCCAGTGAAGTCTTATGCAAATATTCTAAAATCCCAAACATTGAAATCTGAAACTATTCTGAATCTAAACATTTTGAGTAAGGTATAGTCAACCTATATACTAAATATGACAGCCTTTTCTCTTACATGTATTGTATCTTCCATGTTATTTCAGATTTTGTTGAGACATTTGCAGATATACTAACTATAAATTTCTTTGCTTTTTGCCTTGTTCTGTAAAAAATGCATTTTTAAAAACATTTTTATATTTGAAAGAGTAATATATACTTATGGTTAAAAACTCAGCAATGCTTAAGAATATAATGTGAAGTAAATCTCTTAATAATGAATATTGAAGATATTTCTATAATATACATTCATTGGCCACATAACATTTTGATCAACAATGGTCTGCACATATGATGATGGTCCTGTAAGACAGTAATGGATCTGAAAGATTCCTATTACCTAGTGATCTCATAGCCATCATAACAGTGTTGTTCAACACTTCACTCACATGTTAGTGGTGATGCTGGTGGAAGACTAGTGTGCTGCTACAGTTTACTATAAAATAGTATGTATATGCCATAAACAGTCTCACACATCTTGATTTCAGTGTTCTCTTGCCTTTGATTTATCTTTTGATCATCATGACTTTGAGACTTAGGCTATATACTGTCAGCAACTTGGAGCTGAGGCAATTGCCTGGACAATTTAGCGAGGCCATCCCTCAAAGTAAAATTTTAAAAAAGGGATGRGGGGCTATAGYTTAGTGGTAGAGTGCCCATGGATTTAATTGCCAGTAACTATGCACCTCTCCTCCCCCACCAAACCAAACCAAACTACGATATCACCTGACAATACATTTCTTAGAACTTGCTCTAGTTGTTAAGCAGATTGTGAACCATATATGTGATGAATTACTTATTCATGAGTTTTTGGATTGTTTCTAACCTTTCATGATGATAAACTGTATTGTAAAGATACCCTAATAGGTGCATTTTTTTTTTATAATTCTGTGAATTTACCTGTGAGATAATTGATTGAAATGGAATTGTTGGATTATAAATATTTGAAATTTGATAGATATTACCAAAGTGTCTCTAAAAAGTATGAAATAATGTAAACCAGGAAGCAAGTAGTGGCTGCTTTCTCCTACTGTAAACAAYAGTAGCCATAAATGTTCTTATCAGATTTTTTGAGCACTGCCATCATAATGGTAAAGGTAACAGTTCCTTGTTTTAATTGACTTTCCTTTGAATTAATGAATTTTCCCATATTCAGATTATTTTCTGTGAACTGGTTATTGGTATTCTTTGCATTTTTTTWAATCAGGTTATTGGTTTTTTCCTCATAGGTTTTATAATAGCTCTTTGTATATGATTATCTGAGATAATCAACTCATAACAAGACATGATTTATTTCAGTTTATTGTTTTAGAAGTTCTGTTCTATGATTGATTCGTCCCATTGTTTTAGATTCCTATTAGGGAAGTACATGATGGTCSCATGTAGCATGGTATATCCCTATATATCACAAGCCAATGAGCCCCTGTAGGTAGGAGTATTGACCTGGTATTCTCTGTTGCAGTGACTGGTCTAATTTCTAAGTCTTTGATCCATTTAGACTTGATTTTTTGTGCAGGATGAGAGATAGGAAGCTAGTTTCATTCTTCTATACATGGATAACCAGTTTTCCCAGCACCTATTATTTAAAAAGCTGTCTTCAACGTGTTTTGGCACTTTTGTTAAGGGTCAGATGACAGCCCATATCTGTGTGGGTTCATTTGTGTTTTCTGTTCTATTGGTCTATCTATCTGTTTCTATGCTAATAAAAATATGCAGTTTTTGTTAGTATAGCTCAGTAGTACACTTTGAAGTTGGGTATTCTGATGCCTTCAACATTGCTTTTTTTCCCATATCTTACTCATTCTTCTGACTTTGTCATACCACTCAAGGGCTTGTTGAATCTATCTTAAATCTTATTTTTGGAAAACTATGAACAGTACCTACTTTATCTGAGATAGCCAATAAAGTCATCTTCTCTGCCTAGCTGAGTTTGGTTCCATTTTTTTAGAAATTTTATTATGAAAATCAGTACATATATAGAAAATACATAAAATTTAAATAAGCATCATGTAACCATCACCCAGGTTAAGAAATTGATTATTTGCCATTATCCCTAAAGCCTTTTTGAAGCTCCTTCCTAAGCTCTCCTCCCTCTGTAACATAACTACTTATACCCCTATCTGCTTGGTGATCAATCCTTTTTTCCTCATTTTTCTATTCAGGTTTAGTAGTGTTTCCTAATTTCATCAAATGTTTTCCTTGTTTTCAGAAAAGGAATAGGAACAGAAATTCTTTGATTCTTCCATCTTTAACTGGAAGCAGAGAAAAAGTATTGTCTTTAAAGAATTAGAGAAAAGGATATATACTTAAGTATATTAAATGACTCATTTATCTGATATTTAAAATATCTTACAACAGTATAACTTTTTTTAGGTACTGGAGATTGAATCTATGGGTACTTAACCACWGTGCCACGTCCCCATCTCTTTTATTTTATTTTTCATTTTGAGACAGGGTCATACTGAGTTGTTGAGGCTAGCCTTGAACTTGTGATCTGCCTGCCTCAGCCTCCTGAGTCGCTGGGACTACAGGCATGCACTACCATGTCCCACTATAGCGTTTATTTTGACTGAATTTTATTTCTTTTCRTTCTTAGAACCATTTAATGAGATTGCCATTTCAGTTTTTGGTTGGTTTTGTTTTGTTTTTGCTCACAACAGACAGARTTAGAGATCATTATAGCTAATGCCCCAGTAGACAAGGACACATACGGACTGGGAGGTCAAGCTTTTGGCATGACCTGGATTTTATGGTTATCAGCTATTATGAGATAAAAATTTAAACCTCAATTTTTCTTACAATATGTGGTGCCAGTGTTTTCATTGTAAACTAAGAAAACCAATAATATGCAAATTAATCACTRTTTTGTGAAGAATATAAATGTATATCCAAGTTAATTAAAATCTTTTTTTAGGAATATGAAGCCATCTACCTAGCAAAATTAACAATACAGATGATGTCACCACTCCAGATAGAAAGGTCGTTATCTGTCCATTCTGGTACCACAGGTAAGAACTTTTTCTTTTTAGAAGAGAAAGCTGGAGAAAATTCTATTTTTTTAWAAAAAGGAGAAAAGTTACATCCATTGCTTGATAGAAGTTATGCTGAAAAGTTTAAATAAATGTTCAGAAAACTTGGTAAACTATTGAATTCAAATAATTTCAAATGCATTAATTTTATAATGAATCTGTGTTATAACGAACTGTGTGTATTCCCCTATGCTTAGTCAGTTAGAATCTACTTGTTGGAAGATTAGATATCTACTTAGTTTAACTGTGTTATAAAGATTAAGATAATAAGAGAAGTCTGAATAACAAGTGATCTTATTAAAAATAAATGATAGTTAATAGAAGCCTGTTTTCAGGTGTGTTGTAGTTCAAAAGCTAACTAATATGGGTTTTTCTGTGGCCATCAGTATTTTGRTCTTTTCCTCTCCTTTGCTATTTTAGAAGCACCCAAACCCCCCCTCATTTTCAAAGTCACAATCCACGTGTGTTCGAAAAATGTTTTAAACATTTATCTTTCTTTTCCAAGACCCTGCTACCCTCATTTTTCTCATTCARCTACTAGACTACCCATCACATTTGTTTATAATTTCTCTGTCATACAGTTTAAGTCTTCTTTGACAAAACAACCCTATAAGGAAGAATTAACAGGTTACCTACCTGAAATTGGAACATAGGTGATCTGATCCACAAGTCTTTCCTATGCATTGCATTGCCTGAAGTGATAGGCTGTATATTCTTCCCTGAGGCTCAACTTCCTGGTTATCAGTGCCTGTTCTTTCTTTTGCCACCTTTGCCTAATCACTTTTTTTTCTTTTTTTAAAAATTTTTATGTATTTATATGCAGTGCTGAGAATCCAACCCAGCACCTTACATGTACTTGGCAATTGCTCTATTACTGAACTATAGCCCAAGCCCCACTAATCACTTTTTTCATCCTATAGGGTCTGTTTTATCAGTATCTTTAAATTCTTTCCCTTTTTTAATGGTACCCTTAATCACAATCTATATCAGCTAAATATAGCCTCCTATCCAAACTTAATTTGGTCCATTCTTTTCATTGTGTCCAGGCTTATTTTTATATAGATATTTGTGATAATGTGTTTCCTTTACCAAAGATTTCACTGACTTTATTCCACAGTAGGAAGTAGGTTACCAGACATAAAGTCCTTTTGATTTTTCTGTTTCTCATTGTTCTTCGTAAAGAGGAACAGTTTTCTGCAGATTTCCATGTTTTTTTTTTCTCACCTAGAATGCATCATATTACTCTCCCTATTATTTTTTTTTTGTTCTTATCAGTGCATTATAATTATACATAACATTAGGGTTCATTGACATAATCATCCAAGCATGGAATACAGTTTGCCCCATTTCAGTCACCAGTACTTTCTTTCTTCCCTCTCCCTGTTTCTCTTCCTTCTGCTTGTTTATWTTTTTAAAAATTAGTGCTTTATAGATATACATAAAGGTTAAATTCACTGGTGTATTCATGTATACACATAACATAATTTGGTCAGTCTGTCATTCCACCATTCCTCTCTCTTCCCATACTTCCTCCCTCCTCCTCAATCCCCTTCCTCTACTCCACTGATCTCCCTTMTATTTTTATAGGATTTTCCCACCCCTTCTTTTCCCCCCTTACTTTGTTCTAGCTTCTACAAATGAGAGAAAACATTCAACCCTTGATTTCTGAGTGTGGCTTATTTCACTTAGCATGATGTTTTCAAATTCTATCCATTGATCAGCAGATGCCATAATTTCATTCTTCTTGAGCTGAGTAAAACTCATTGCATATATATACATCACATTTTCTTTACCCTTCATTTGTGGACAGGTACTTGGGCTGGTTCCATAACTTGGCTGCTATAAACATTGATGTGCCTGTATCACTGTAATATGCTGATTTTAGGTCTTTGGGATAAATACTAAGATGTAAGATAGCTAGGTATATGGTGGTTCCATTCCTTGTCTTTTGAGGAATCTCCATACTGTTTTCCAGAGTGGTTGTATGAACTTGCTGTCCCACCACATCCTCACCAACATTTATTATTATTTGTATTCTTGATGATTGCCATTCTGAGTGGTCACTCTCCCTATTCTTGAGAACAGTTTAGATGTCGGGAGAACATGATTAATGCACTCTTTGACTAGCCCCTCAACATTTGAAGTTCATCTGAAACTCAAAACAGCATTTGCATTTAGCCTCATTTTAATCTTCAGTCTGTTAATTTTATACCAAAACATTAGGTTCATATTAGAGTTTGTCTTAAAACTTATTATATACTATATCTAAAAAGTACTTAAAAGTTTCAGCAGGAAAAATATTCCCAGTCATGAAGTTAAAAAGTTATTTGGGTAATTTACAAAATAATAATCACTAAAGTTTGCTATAAATTCAGTTGTGAAATTATCATAGTGTGTACAAGGTATCACTTGATGAAAAACTGATTTTTACTGGCTATAACATTCTAACATGAATTTATTTATTTTCTCATGTTACATYCACTCAATAACTTTAGGCAGTTTGAAAAGAACACATGAGGAAGAAGATGATTTTGGAAACATGCAAGTAGCAACTGCACAGAATGGCTGACTGAAGACAAACACAAAGGGTGTGAATTTCTATTGGGAAAGGAGACAATTCTAGAAATAATAATAATAATGTAAAATGGTAAGGACACAAGTAGTTTCTTTGCAATTATATGTTGCTTCCAGACATGTTTCTCTGCAACTTGTTGAGCAACATTTTAAGAAGATGTTGGACTTCTGCAATAGATGGCACTGATGGTTTTACTTTTTTTTTTTGAAACACTTTATAGTTTATTATAAACCAAGAACTTTGGACTTGCAAAGAGGTATTATTGCAATAATGCACTTTTTCATACTTGAAATTTATTTGTATGATATAAAGTTATTACTTTAAACAAAATGCAAGTTAGGGGGGATTTGTTTATAAATTTTGGGTAATTTATAACAAGAATTTCCTAAGGTTTGCTAAAAATTCATTTTGTGTTCTATGTATTACATTTTTAAAATAATTTTACAGTTCAATTTTATGATGGAGCCTCTTACAGAAACATTAACAAAATACAGGAATCTGCCACATTTTTTATTATAATTCAGTTACTATTTTATTTTTTTAAATTTCTTGATTCTTTATTAGTATTCTTTCAATCATGACATTAACCAATTATCTTTACTGTAATTTAAATTAAGTAAATGCTTCCTTTCATAATTTGTATATTCTATAGGAAGAAAAGGTTTTTAATGATCAAAGAAAGATGTTTTGCTTTATATTACCAGATACTCAAAAACAAGGAGAGTGTTCAATTTTCAAGTGACTTTCTATTTTGCTTTTTTCTTTTAAGCCAAATATTGTATTTGTTCTTTTCAGAATTGTCTAGCTCTTTTGACCTCTGTCCAAAATGGTTCTAAATAGAATGTGATAAACCGATGTAGCACTATTTTTTTTYCTAAATGAAGCCCCCAAAAAGAAAGTGCCTTGAATTATTTTTTAAGAAAATTAAATTCTCATGACCTCTAAGTTAGTATGTAGAACACTGAAGAGTTCCTAACATTTTTCTGTAWTTTTTTTTAAATATTTAAAAATTAGCTTAAACTGAACGGGTGAGGCTTAAAGAAAATRTTACTAAATTTTTKGAAATATGGAACATTCACTGTTTTATGTTGTATTAATGATTCTGTGAGATTATTCTAGCTCAGACAGAAGGTCTTCTTGAAGATGGATTTATTGGGGGAAATGATTTGTGGGTAGTTTTAGTGGTTCTTAAATTAGTGAATTAATCAGTTCTTTGAGTTGATCCAAATTTCCCCCCATAATTTGCATTAGCAGTCACTTTATAAATCTTTAGTTCTTCATACTTTTATTTATATGTACAATAGTTGTTCTAAGAAAAACATTTTTGCTATCTTAAGTGTGATGTGAGGGAAGTTTTTAACTTTTTATAGTTGATGACTTTAGGTGTAGCACAAACAAAACTTTGTATCTCACTTTTCTCAGTCCTCTCTTGAGGTGCTTTACTGATGGGAATGAAATCTCTGCATTCCYATAGTACCAAGGAGGTGTACTTTTCAAGGTAACTTATTACACCAGGTTACTTACTTACTTTCCTCCCTATGATGTAATAATACAGAAGAAGAAAAAAAAAACAAAACTTTTATCCCCCATAGTGGACAGTGAAAACTTATTGAAATTACTGTTAAGTCCTGTTGACATGTGGTATTCTTCTGATTGGCCATCTTCTCTCCTCTTACCACTCTGAAAATAGCATATTATTAACCCCATTGTGTTCCAGTATTCTGTTGTGTGATTACAACATTTWGTGTAGTGATCTAGTGAAGTCAAGATTGCATTGGATGTTCAAAAGTTCTAGCTGGTAAAAAATCAGATACCACAGCTTTCCTGTATGTAGATCATTATTGAACAGGTCAGCAAACATCTCTTGCAATCTCTAACAGAAACTGCTATAATCTTCATAAAAGCAAATTTATATTTAAAAATTAGGCAGTTGAAGTTTTTATTTAATTCACTTTATAAAAATACATATCCTCTATAGAAGTCTGGCAAAGAAATACAAATTTGGCTAGTGATACCAATTTGTACTGGGTAATTTTTCTTTTTCTAACCACTATCATTTCTATGTTGTCACTAAAGTGCCTGCCCAGCACTATATACTAAAGACAGTCTCAATCTAGAAAACAGGACTATCATCTTGCATACAATGTTAATGGGACAAAACATGAGGTTTACCCTTTCCTGTAAGAACGTTGCAAGTCCCCTGACCCCTTAGATCTCTTTATCCACTTAGCGTTCAACTAGCTTTTTTGTAACTCTACTTGTTCTTTATTCTATTTGGTCTCATTTCTGTGCTTTTATTTCYAGTGATGTTTTATGATAGATAATTATGATTAACTTAACTAATCATGATTTACTTTAGAGTATTTGAATAATGTATGAGATATCACCCAATTTTAACCTTAAATATATAATCCAGGCACAATATTTAAAATGAAATTGAATCAAAATGTAGGCAAACTACATTACTATCCATTTTGAAAATGTGAAACTTAAAATACTGAAAATAGTCAAACTGGAATGACAGTATTTTTGTAATTTCAGTTATTTGGTTCATGTTAATTTGTTATCCATTAGGTATTTAAACAATAGTTATTTTTATTTGTATCTACTCTGGTGGAAATGTTAAACTGTGATAGCTTTTGCTACCAATTCTCAACCAATTAACTTTTAGAGCAGAATACTCATTTTGCGGGGGAATTTTGTGCGTAGGAATCTTGAGTTTAGAAGTAATGTCAGAAAACGTTAAGCATGTCCTTTTCAAGAAAATATAAGGTTCCTAATTGTCTTATTACCCTGGTAATTCAAGTGAATTAGAAGTATTTAACTGCAGTCTTGAATTATAAAGTTGAGAGGTATCTATCAGGATCTCAGCTTGATGTAAAGTAAATGAGCAGTTACCTGGCGGATTTCTTTTTTAAATAATTGGTTTAATCCATAATTCCATTACATAGCTTCACTTCAGTATTTACCTTTGTCCATTCATTGATAATAATAGGAAGTAGCTAAGAATTACTAAAATATTTTAATTTATTTATTAGGAAAATAAGTTTCTAGGGTATTTGAGTGCTGGATTTTTGTCTTTCCCATTCATGGCAGCTATTTAAAAAAAAAAAAAAAAAAACTCAAAATATTCAGGTTTACATGTTAGCTCCCTGTCMGAGGGAGTTGCCATACCTCACAATTCAAAGTGTATTCTATAGATCAGTAACATACTGACATGTAATTGCAATTTACTATGCAGCAAAAATGATTCAAGAAGAAAACATTACAGTGTCTATTTACCTTTGTATAAGCAATTGCTTACATTACTCTGCTTTTAACATTTGTACTTGGATAAAATGCTTATGTATGTATAGGAATGTCATAGTGCAAAATGCTGCTAYCTGAGGCACAAAGTATTAAAATTATTTTGTGAAGATTGGTGGTTGTATTAAAACTGTTGTGCCATTATACCTCAAAAATACTGAAAAGTTCATTCGYACTGCTGATGCCTGAGAACTTCTTTACTTATTCTCTGGGTAAAAATAACCCAGTTTTACTCCTACAGATTAAAAAAGGTGAATGAACGTTGCATATTGAGAAACAAGAATATCTTTCAAAACCTTGTGGTCAACATATACTCAAAAATGTCTGCAACCCCAAAATTCCAGTTAGTTGAGCAAGTTGGGAATTCATGTCTGAAGGAAGGATAGGTACATCATTTATAGCACCACTTTTAGTCCATTAAAAAAAAAATACTTGATTTTATAGTACCRTCTTCTCTCCCTCATCCACTTTGCTTAATCAAATCTAAGATCCCACCTAAACTATAACACTGAGAGCAAAATATTGCTGACTAAACTATAGCAGGTCGGTGATCCTTAAATGCATCCAGATTTTAGGGATAGCCCACTACATTTTCAGATTAATGAAACATAAACAAAAAATATGGGTTACCTAAAAATCAAAATTACCWTTCATTATACCTTTTCAAAAACAAAAGCGCTAACAAAAAAGTTAATATAGTTCATATATTAAATGCAGATTTTTTTTCATACTCRTTTACTCACAATATGAATTAGAAATAAACATTTTGATAACTAAAACTAGAGTACTGTTTTCTGCAGTAACACAATTTTTACATACTAAGCCTTATCTATAACTCTATTTCCTATAGGGGGGATTTAAGAGAAGACCTGAAGAACACAATTTAATGGGATTTATTGAAATACCAGCCTAATAGATAATTTTACTTCAAATAGCTCAGTGGTAAGAAGTTTAATAAAGAATTAAATTTCAACTTTTTACTAGGCTTACTTAATATGGGTTTTTAATTACCTGAATTTACCTAATGAAGCTACAACTAAGGTTTTAAAACTCCTGAAAAGAAAAAAAGAACAAATTTTATTGCTTTCACTATAGGCAGATGGGTTCATCTGGATAAATGGGTCAGCATATGAGTAGTGTACCTTATTGGTGAAGGATTTCTGTTGTCTTGGAAAGCRCATTTTAGCTGTTTGGAGGGAAACCGGAATGAATCGGAGGTRAGAAACAGGTGGTCCTTACAAAGGATACACAAAACTAGGATGTCATGAACGATGAATGAATCTAATAGTTCAATAATACATTCAAGAAAAGGAACAGGCAGGATTTTAACAGACAATTTATATGAACAGGTTTAATGTAACATGGAATGCAAAAGATTAGAACCATTAATAAGTATCTAATTCTTCAATTTTAAAAAATAATTGAAATAAATAAAATCAAAACAAGATAGTGATCAGAATAATAGTACCATTATAATCACATTAAATATAAAAGCTTCCATCAGTATTTTAACAATGTGGCAATTATAGTACCATACATTTTTAAATATCACTCAAATTTTATAATCTGTCCATGTTTCATAAAAATGTTTGACAAAAGAAAGGTTTCAGATACCCATGAAAAGAGAAACTGGGGTATGCCTAGAGTTGCTAGTTCACTATTAAAAAGGTACTTTACCTTGGGTTCAATCACTAGTACCACACACAATTCCACAAAAGCGTACCTTGGATGGCCTGTTTTATTTGCCCTTGGGCAAATTTATTGTTTCACARTAAGACAGGTGGTACTTGATCTCCATAGGAACTATATGAACTTTTACTGAAACATTTAAACTACTGTACTTAAAATCTTTTCACATTTTATAAGCTAATTTTTCTTTCTTTACAATGTTGACAAAGTTGTTTGCCAACATTAAGATGGACAAACTTAGTTCTAAGTAATTTATCCAACTTCCTATAATATGTGAGAAATGATACACCTCTAGGTTTATTTAGATGTTTCTTTGAAACAAAATATTTAATTTTGTGAATGTATACTTTTTAAAAATGAGCAGCAAAGACAGCAGACCTATAACTCCTTACTACCCATACTCTTGACTATCAAGAAATGAAGCCAAACTTTAGAAAAATACAATGCAAGAAAAGATTCAAGTTAAAAATATATTCCTTTGGTTAAAAATCATCCCCTTTGATAATATTCATTTGTAATCTAAACTCAGACTGTCCCACCATCTCAAAGTAATCTTCTAAATGTCATTAAACTTGTAGTAGTCCAATGTTTTTTCAGTCCAGCATTATGGAGGTCACTGGGTTGTAGTAACAAAAATGTTTTTTTTATTCTAGGAAGAATGAAGTGCTGTAGCATTAGATCCTCTCAAGATTTTTACTGTAGAAACCTCCGACACATGTAGTTTTCTTCAGATACTGTATATCCAAACTTCTTGTAGAAACCAACATTTTCTGGTAGACATTCAAGAGTGATCTTATAACAGTTCAGTTTCTTGCTTAGCAAAGTAAGAGTTGATAATAACCTAAAATTTTAAAAAGGGAAAGTGAGGAGACAGCATTTATTAAAATGAATTTCAATAACAATGTGAATTGATGTTACAGAAAAATAAGACTTTGATCTTTATTAGAAATAGGTATAAATATGCTTTGATAGGCAAATTATAAGTCAATAAGCATTTAAATCACCAAAGCATTTTTACTTAGTTTCAAAAATACTTTATCTAGTAACCTCCAGCTCATTAGTAAACAAGATAAATTACCCTAAACTCTTTAAAGGTACTTATTCATGTTAACACTGAAGACTATCAACTATCAACTTGTATAAAAATATGGCCAAAATTATTTAAAAGGTCTTTGTTATAAATCTATTCAAAGTAATTGGTAGTATACAGCCTTCTAACATAAAATCGGTACTTTAATAGTTTCATTCTTTAATTTTGTTTGTAGTACTGGAGATGGAACCCAAGGATTGCCCACATGAATGTACTCTTAACACTAATCTTCATCCCTAGCCCCATTAATAATTTTTAAATCAACATAGGTTTAATAACAGATGTACACAAAGCAAAAGGGTACTTTACAAATCCTTAAAAGAGTCACATTCTTTTAAAATGTAATGTGATCTAGCCAGGTGTARTGGTGTACACCTGTAATCCCAGCTAGTGGAGAGGCTGACACAGGAGGATCTCAAGTTTGAGGCCAACCTCATCTTAGATTCTGGCTCAACAGAAAATTTGAAAAGGTCTGGTGTGTAGTTCAGTGCATGTGACCCTGGATTCAATCCCTAATACCAAAAAAAAAAAAAAAAAAAAAAAAGTGACTATTGGTAACAGTATGCTTTCAGTTTTCAAACTCTGAAACTATTTAATATTTTTGTCATTAAATTCAATTCCAAGCTAAAGAATAAAAATTAATTCAGAATTAATGTAGCCCAAAAAGAATTTYAAAAAGGAAAAAAAAATTAACAGGCATTTTAGCAAGAAATGAAATGAAATGAGTATCCAGTTTACCCAGAGTTACCTCCTTTGTTTACTTACAATTTGCCAAGCTGCTTTCCTCTGCATTCATCACTAACAACAACATCTTCTACTCTTCCTCTCTGAAAAGTAGTTTACAGTGTTTAGGACTACTCATCCAGTTTTGTTTTCAGATAAACCAAGTGATAGTTGGTAAGAATTTATTGATAATGTTTTGTAAACTTGAACTTCATAAGAACCAAAATGCATTTTTTTAACTTATTACCATAGAGGAAATAAAAAGAATCAACTTTTAGTTTAATCATTTTCTGGTTATATCCCCAATCTCCCCCACTCCATTGTATTAAAGCAAATCTCAGAATCTGTATCACCAAAAACAAAATCTTTCCATAAACACAGTACATCCATCATTCTACTCTGCTCAATAAAAATTTGTTTCAGATAGACAAGTAAAATTTTATCAGTTTCTAGTGGCTTAACCCCACCCCCAAATTCATAAAGCACATGATATATCCCATGTGTTCTTATTTTCATTTTCATTGGGTTTCTTATATATTTATTWTATCATGTGAATTTTATGAGAATTGGAAGACAAACATAGTATTCCACAATCTTTACTAACAGGAAAATAATAAGAAATTTCTGCTAATGCAGTACAAAGTATTATTTTTGGAAAAAACAACATTAGGGATTCTARACATTACTCCTGAATTTAATGAAACCGGGTTTTTCTATGACTATGTCAAATCTAAAACCTTTATATAACAAGTTTAGTAAGCAGTTAATACACTTAATGTTTTCTTTCATTTATAATTCTGAGAAACACACCAAGAAATTGCTTATTGCTAAAGAATTTCTAAGAAAACAATGAAAAGCAGTAAGAAAACATTTGTCTAGCAGAAATTCAAAGTCATTTTTGCTAGAAAACACCCATTTTACTCACAAGCATTAATGTGAGCACATACCTTAGCACAGGAATGGATGAATTTATGTTCTATTATCAGAGTTGCTGTAGCAACAATCTGTCCTACAGTCACATCTTCCACAACTGTAACATAATAATCCCCAGATTTCTTCATATGCTCAAAAGATTCTGTAGAAATTGGAAAACAAAGAGTGTTACATGGTAGAGTTATTTTATTAGGTGCCATAAAAATACTAAGATTGGATGATTTATTATTAAATACTTAAAGCTATTTTACCATAGTAATTTATATTCCATTTCTAAAAGCATATTATCCAAACAACCAAAGAGTTGAAATATCAACAGTCAATATTAATTGGACTATGGTGCATACATTTAAAATAATCTGCTAGCAAAATACAGTAAGATTGACAGTTATTTTAGATTAATAGTACTTAAAATACATACAAATTGTATATGTTGCTATTTTTATAACTAATTAAAACTTCAATACTTTATTCAATATGTACTCAACAGATATTCAAACTTTGMAGATTTTAAGAAGAATGTGTATTCTGTAATTTCAAAATTACAGAGGAGCATAGCTCCACTCCCCTTAAGTGATTATTAATGCTTATATTGCTGAAAAAAGAATTTCTCAATGAATCTGATATGCATGCAAAGAGAAATTCAGAAGTTAAAAACCAAACCTAATAGGTCTTGTACTRTTTATTTGTACAGAGAGGTAGTGGGAAGAAGAAATACATAAATGAGAATTGGAAAATGTTGACCTTCATTTTTACCAGAGTCAGAATACAAAACAAACTTACCTACTAAAAGGAATAAAGAATTGTAGGAAACAGGAAGGGCAGTGTTGGGAGTACTGGATGAAGTTGAAGTTCTGTTCCTTTCCTTACTAATAACTATCTATGTTCTTGAGTAAGACACTGGATCTCTCTGGATATCCATTTTCTCAAAAGCTGGGATGGAGATGCATGTACAAGATCCTGGGCTCAATCCCCAGCACCCCCCCCCCCAAAAAAAAAAGCTGGGGTCGGGGTAGTGGGCTAGACTGACTGATACCTGCCAACCTTGAAATTCAATATAAGAACAAAAGTACATATGYTCTTGAATTTTGGGGGTGGGGGAAGGTTGGTAATGAAATTTCTGTGAATAATCTAATCATATGGAAGGAAATACTACAATAAATTAAAAGTCTTTTGATCTGCACCCTGCATTTTTGTAAATGTAGGTATTTTGCAAAACAAGGTAGTTACTATATTTGGATTCTACAACAAGTTAAACATTAAAAAAAAATAGCTAATCTATTGCTCGAATAACTTCCAGCTGTTTGAACAAAAACAAGCAGGCACTGAACAGTGCTCTAAACAAAAATAAAATCTTACTCCCTTTAATTTTATTCAGGAAACAGAGGCTATAGTACTTACTCATAAACTGTTCAGGGTTGACAACTCCAGTCTCTGTTAGCTGACCCAGTACCTTAAAAAAACCTTGTTTGAAGACCAGATTTCAAGTCATGAGGAAAGGCAAAAAGGGAAGACAAAATATGAAAAGAAGTAATATGTTAAGTTGTGGATATGGGCAATCATTTTTTCAAATTTTCCATAATCATCACTTAAATATTATTTCTTGAATCATACAATAAAGGTAATAAAATATTTGAACAACATTTTTGCCTGCACAAAATTTTTGGAATAGTACAAACTACGTATATTTTTTCGACATAATCTTTGTTAAATTCAGTACAAGGAATGCCAACTTTTCCCAAGTTTCTTACTATGAACAGATATAAAACATTTATCAAAATATAAATAACATTGTTGACTACAATTTTAAAGATTCGTAATTTTATTAAATCTAATATTAAAAGTACACTTAGAACTTTGAGAGTCTTTTCTAGACTCAATAATTAGTTTGACCAAAATTATGTTTCTTCAGGTTTCCTACCCAGAAGTAAACTGAGAAGTAAAATGCTGACTTTTGATTAACAAGGTTTAAGTTAGTTTGAAGAATTTAGATGTTAATAAAAGAAGTATATAGAGCCAGGAAGAGTGGTGCATGCCTGTAATCCCAGCAGCTTGGCTGGGGAGGCCAAAGCAGGAGGGTCATGAGTTCAAAACCAGCATCAGCAACTTAGTGATAAAAAATATTTTAAAAGGGCCAGGGATGTAACTCAGTGGCTAAGTGCCCCTGGGTTCAATCCCTAGTATCCCTGCCACACCCAAAAAAATAAGTACATAGAAACAGACAACCTTTTCAACTTAACCAAAGAAAATTATCTCTACTTTCATTTCCCATCTGGCTTCTTAAAAAGACCTAATGTGTTATAAGAGTATTGTGAAATAGTTCAAATGACTTTAATAGTGCTCCTTCCAAAAAGACTTTTCAAACAAATATACAATTAYCAATAATTGGAAGGAGCACTGTTATGTTAAAGTCATTTGAACTATTTCACAGAACTATTTAGTCTTAGCCATTGTAGACATGTATATTTCATTATAGAGTGAAAATATATTTATCATAAACATTTATTGGTCAAAATTGAATTTTCCAATCACTAAAAAATGAAGTCTAAAAATAATCCTAAAGACAAATATTTTTAAAATTTATCAGTGTCATGTTTATAGAGAAAACAGAAGGCCAACTATAATTCTAACCAGGATTTCCTAATGGAGTGATTCCATACCTCTATTTAAGTCAGCAGTGCAAAGAGGCCTCAAAACCAAACCTTCTCCGGGATGTGTTGGAGAAATGGCTGGAGAAAATGTTGCTGTATTCTGACTCCAGTCCACTTCTTTGAGTAGACTTGGGTCAAACATTGGCGTTTCATCAGGTTTCATCTTTCCAGTAAGGTCTAAAATAAAAATTTAAATGTTAAGGCATTTTGATTACTAAAAGAAAAAATTATTATGGTTGATGATAAAATTAATGAAGCATTCTATAACAGTTATACAAGCTATTTTGCTTTAGCCTACCAAGAATCTAATTTCAAATGCCCCAACTACAGATTGACCTCTTGGTCTCTCCGTGTGTGTGTGGCGGGGGGGGGGGGTATTTTTACATCATGCTTTGTTGGGCTTGTTGATGCTTNCTAACCAGGATTTCCTAATGGAGTGATTCCATACCTCTATTTAAGTCAGCAGTGCAAAGAGGCCTCAAAACCAAACCTTCTCCGGGATGTGTTGGTCTCTCCGTGTGTGTGTGGGGGGGGGGGGGTGTATTTTTACATCATGCTTTGTTGGGCTTGTTGATGCTTGTGTGTATTCCTAGGAACTCTGGTGGCTGAGACAGAATGATCAAAAGTTCAAAGTCAGCCTGGCAACTTAGCAAGACCGTATTTCAAAAAAAAAGAGACTGGGATAAAGCTCAATGGTATAGTGCCCCTGCGTTAAATCCCCAGTAAAACACACACACACATGTGTCATGCTTACCATCAGAAAGTGGGATTGTTAAGTGTAAAGACTTATTGAGCATATCACTTTTTTATATTAATCATAATGAACGCTAATTACTGAATTATTATGTGTTCATAGAAATACTGGTCTTAGCTATGACAGATAAGACACTAAAGCTAAATTTTGTTTTCATAACAGGTTTTCTAAAAATCTGTAACATAAGTTACTCAGCTGCATCTATGCAGTTTAAGAATAGCCAGTGTTTTCATGCTATTGAAAAATGACCAATTATGGTATTTCCCTTGCTTTTATGAACATTCAGAAATGGGCAGATTCTCACTAGTGATCTAACAAAACTAAGACTAAATAATAGATAAAACAGTAGGGAAAGATGAAAAGTTTTATGAAGTATAAAATGGGGTGGGAGGAGCACTTTCAATAGAGTAYAGAGTTGCTCAAAGAAACAGGATCTTCCTGCTCATCCAGGGACTAAATAAAATCCTCCAACTTTCATTTCTAGTCCTATACCCTTTCAATTCTATTCCTATAAAGAAACATTTATTGAAAGAGCAATTTTCTCATAAATTAAATATCTATTTTATAAGTCACAACATGCTTTATGGCAAATAGACTTAACTTTTCTTATTAAATTTCTGCCTGTGTGACCACTCTATGTAACAATACAGGTAATGCTGCAGGTTAGTATAGGCTTTAGGAAGTTAGTGTTGTGTAATAACAGAATTCAATACTTCCTCAGCACCTACTTCATGCCAGGCACTCTTCAAGGGACTTGACGTATTACTAAGTCATTTGCTTCAAAAATCCTACAGACTAGGTGTTGTTATCTCCATTTCAACAGATGAAGAAATAAAGATACAGTGATATTAAATATCTTGCCTGAGGTCACAAAATTTAGGAAGACAGGGCTTAAACCTRGACATGGAAACAAGTGGACTAGTTAATTCAAATGTGATCTTGGTTAAGGTAATTAAGCTCTTAGAATCGTGTTTCCTCATTTGTAAAATACAGATGAAATTACACAAATTTGAAAAGAATTATATGCAAGCAAGCATTTAAAATATGTGGCATACCACAAAAAAGCAAGATACATTCTAATTAGTAATAAATTTAAAATTCATTTTACAAGTTCTTTTTGCCTTTAATTCATGATKAGGCACTGCTGGATACAGGGACTATAAAAAGAATGACAGGTTGTTGTGTCTATATTAAGCCAAAAGTTACTCTTCTTGGATAGGAAAAAATTAAAATGTAGTTTATTACATAGAATACTACGCATTTTTCCCCCTCAGAATTCAGATCAAGTTGTGCTGTAACACTATACCTAAGTTGAACAATATTGAAGAAAGAATGTAAACTGTGATGATTAAAACTCTCATATCAAATTAATAAGCTTACCATCCATCCTAAACAGGTTTTTCATAGGCATACATTTTAGTATTTGTCCCTGGTAGTTGGACCATTGAAGCTGCTGTATAAAATCTCATGTGAAAGGTGGGCAAAAAAATATTGTTTTTCTTAGGTATGCAGATCTGCTGGTGTCCAACTAATATGCTGGGAAAAGTAAATTTTTTTAGTTCTTCAAGGTAATACCCTATTAAAACATTTGATCATGTTATTTCACATATAAAAGCATGACGTTTAAAGAARCCTCAAAAGGGAATTTAGATAAAYATTAACAAAACTTAAGTTTAACTAGATTCCCTTTTCCCTTAAAGTTGCCAGAATTTATAATAAAATGTTGACTGGAAGCTACACAAAAAGGGTTACTAATTTCATGAGGAAATTGCACAGAAGAATTAGCCTGTGAAGCCTTTAATGAATTTAATCAGTAAATATTTATACTTCTGTGATTTTTCTCTAACCAGATGGTCCTGTTCTATGAGTGATAAAGCACTACTAGCTGACACTTGCATACTTGGTATTTGTTAACTCTTTATTAAAAAGTTCTCTCTCTCTCTTTAAAAAAATAAATATTTATTTTTTAGTTTTTGATGGACACAACATCTTTATTTTTATGTGGTGCTGAGGATCAAACCCAGCACCCTGCTCATGCCAGGCAAGCGTGCTAACTGCTTGAGCCACATCCCCAGCCCTTGTTAACTCTTTAAAAACACAATCAATGATACATAATGATTTTATCCCTCTTTTACAGACAAGGAAGCAGGCACAGTAATTTGCTCAAGATACCAGTGCCAATAAGCAACAAAATTTAGAATTCAAAACAAAGCAATAGGGCAGCTTCACAGGCCCTGGATCTATATGGTGCACAGGGGCCCAGCACYTGGTTTAATACTCTGCTGCTACTACTTTGAAATTTTTAAGAATTTTTTTTAACAAGTGCCCTGCATTTTAATTTTGCACAGGTCCCTACAAATTATGTGGCTAGTCCTGCTAGGCAGAATGACTTCAGACTCTTAACTATTCCACTGAAGATAAACTAAAAGTAAATGAAGTAGAGGAATTTCCTTCTTTATTGTACATGGTCAATCAGTACTTCGTTACCTTTACTTTGGAAAATGAGAATTTCAGACTAATCTGTTTCAAAATTAAAAGGACTGGCAATGTAGCTCAGTGATAGAACACCTTGGGTTCAATCCTTGGTACCAAAAGAACTAAACAGGTAACTTTAATTGGCTTATAAAATAAATATTTTAGCATTTTAAGGTACCCACAGATACTCAAAACTAAGAAACTTCACTAAAGGTGAAAGCTTAATCTTATCATCATTAATGGCCTTATATTATTTTTAATTTTTAAAAGTAAACCCTGGAACTTCCAGATAGCTGAATATATGAAGGCTCCTGGAAAGTGGTGGGTTCAGAGAGGGCATGAAAGTTCTGCACACCTTCCCACATACCTCACCCTAAACAACTCTAAATCTGTATCCTTTGTAATATCCTTTATAATAAACCAGTAAATAACTGCTGAAGAAGCTGGGTATCCCTGAGACAGGCCATTTTCATGGCAAAGGTCAGAAATTCAAAGGGGCAAGCAGGAGGGAAAAAAAAAAGGCAATTCTTAGAAGTCTCCACAACTAGCTATGAACAAAGTCAAAAAGTGGGAAAGTCACTCTTTCTACAMTGAAACTGTACTAAGGAAGAAGGGAGATGGAAGAATTACAAATGACTCTACCACAATTTGCCAATAATAATTTTTTGCTTAAGCAATTTAAAAAATTTATTCATTCTAATTAGTTAGACATGTCAGCAGAATGCATTTTGATTTATAGTACRCAAATGGAGCACAAATTTTTATTTCTCTGCTTGTACACAAAGTAAAGTCACACCACTTGTGTCATCATACATGAACTTGGGTAATGATGTCTATCTCATTCCACCATCTTTACTACCCCCATTCCCTCCTTCCCTGCCTAAGAAATTTTAATTCCATATGTAACACTAGCTAGCTAGTGTACAAAATAAATAATACAGTGATTGATTGATTGATCCAGCTAAAAGTATAAGAACCAAAAGTCTTTATATAATTTAATTAAGATTTACAACATGGAGCAAGAGAGGAAGAACCCTCTTTCTGGTCAGGAAACTATGAAGATGAGATTTATGTATTCAGCCTCGTCAAGAACCTAATGTTATAGTCAGAAGACTGTAATCCCAGCRGCTCTGGAGGCTGAGGCAGGAGGATCTGGAGTTCAAAGCCAGCCTCAGCAAAAGCAAGGCGCCAAGCAACTCAGTGAGACCCTATCTCTAAATAAAATACAAAACAGTGCTGGGGATGTGGCTAGGTGGTCGAGTGCCCAAGTTCAATCTATCCCCAGTTCCAAAACAAACAAAAAACAGAACTATAGAAAATAGTAGACATGTGGAGACTGAAAAAGTTATAATGGTTTTAAGATTCTTCACCCTGTTGTAACTTAATCCACCTTTACTTCTGTACTTCTTGAAGTTTGGTTATGTGGGAAAAAAATCCCTTAAAAAAAGGAAAAAGCAAAAAACCCTAAGCCCCCTTAAATATTCCTCAAGAAACTTTTCTGTTTAACTGCCAAATTAGCATGCATTTACAAGGCCACGATTGCCTAGCCTAACTTAGTAAATATCTGATGAATGAATAACGAATAATGAATGATGTAAGACTTAACTGGAGATCATATTTCAAGGAAAAACATTTCTACAGTGTCACAAGTGGTATCACAAAAATCATACATCAAATTCATTTTTACTACTATTGAGAAACTTTCATTAATTTGAGTACTTTTAGACACAATTTCAATAAAATGGTTTCCCAGCCTCTATATCAGATTAGAATAGAAACGGGGAGGAGTTGCTCCTAGAAGCAACTGAGAGCAACAAGTAATGGACACTGGACATGAAGATTTACAAAGAACATTTGCTGATAAAAGCGCGCAAATGCACCAATTTACAAAAGTATTTTTTGATAGCATTAAATCTCTAAYATCTAGACATTATTTCCAGTCTACTGATGAGGAAGCTGGAGCACAAAGAAGTTTCAAGACTTGCTTCACTGTAATAAGTAAACTGGAACTAGAATCCTGTTTCCCACGTTGAGCGCTACAATAAAGTAAGTACCAAATGGTACTGACTGGTAGTTATTTCCCCTATTCATCAAATCCCGTCTAAAACATGTAAATGATTTCCTGAGACCTATTCTGGATTCATTTAGAGTGATTAGCCCAACAAAATGAATCTCATAATTGCCCTTTCAATTTTATGTGAAATTTTTTAAGAGTTCGGCTTACATAAACACCAGCTAGTACAATAGAAATCACATAATACTCGCTGTTTCTAGGGGCAGAAGCCCTGAGAAAAGACACAAAGGATATCCCTCTCTTCCCGGGGAAGGCCCCCTGATGTAGTCGGTGATCTTCTGAGCGATCAGGAGAGTGTCCTCAATGGCTCCCACCACTATGGGATACCCCAGGGACGCGAGAAGGGAGAGTGGGTCAATTGGCTGCAGAAACGGAGAGCAAGGGTCTCCATCTCCCACGCCAAAGCCCGAGAGTGGAATTAGTTCGACCCCAGTCCCAGTTTCTGCTCTGCCAGGCCAGGACCCCTGAATGGCGTGACCGTTGGCCATCATCCTTAACCTCTGCTCCCGGAGCGCGTCGGTTCAACTTCCTGGGAACCGCGCTCGACACCGCCAAGTGCACACAGCTGGCGAAGATAAACAGCCCAAACAGAACCCCTTCGGGGCCTAGCCCTCCTCGGCTTTCGGTAAACCTGAAGACGAGTCCCTGACGCCCTCAGGACACCGGGCCCCTTCTCACCTGCAGAGGCCCAACCGTTGGTGCTCCTCCTCGCACGCGTGKGACTCTCCTTCACCCAGCTACACAGAACCGGATCCGGATCCGGCTTCAGCGCCAGCCCCACCTCCTCTTGCACCGCCCGCGCCAGAGCCGGGAACCGCAACCCAAACGTGGCAGGGCCAACGCCTCCTCCTTCACCAGCAGCTCACGCAGCGCCGCGCCTAGGCGGACGCCGGCGGAGGCCGGGGAGCCACCCGAGGGGATGGGGTGGGGTGGAGCCTGCSAAGAGGCGTGGCCAGGAGGGCCGGCGCTGGGCGAGGCACGCAGCGCGTCAGGGCGGGACGCACAAGCCTTCCTTTCCAGTGTACCTCCCTCTGGTTCTTTGCCGCCTTATTGACGGCGTCACTGTCTCGGTTTTCCCGGAAATAAGACTACGTAGGAGCCAGCTAAGCAGCATTAAGTGGTGACCAGCTTGGCCTCTTGTCCTTTTAGTTAGTCCCTTGTTGCCTATTTTCTCACGATGAGTCCATTAGGACTTGGGTTACTCATGGACAGCTCATAGCTCCTCATTCCCAGGTTTTTGACTCATGGTTTCTGCCTTCTTGAGACAATGAGTTGGGGCCTCTGCGTTCTAGTCCATTAGAACCGTCGTTTTATTTTTTTCTCAGAACCTTTTAGGATGAACACGAGGTTGGCACTGTGATTTTCAACTGCAGTGATTTCCCTCCGGGATACATTGGCAATGCCTGGAGCGTTTTCAACCTCTTATCTGGAAGGGGAGAGTTGGTGCTGGCATCTCTGGATGGTGGAGGGCAGAGAAGAATAGAGGCCAGGATGGCTGCTGTACTTCTTAGGATACATAGGACAGCACCCTGCAACAAAGTCTCTGGCCTGAAATGTCAGTGCTGCCGAGGTTGAGAAACCCTGATAAGGATAAGAAAAGTCTTTTTCCTCCGAGCTCCCATTCCAAAGTGTCCTTTTTATAGATTAGGAAACAGGTTCTGAGACATTAAGTAATTTACAAGTCACGTAGCTTAGTAACTCCTACTTATTGAAATTACAGAGTACTCTTTTAAGGAAAAGTGTTCAAAGAATTAACACTATAGATATTCAGTCAGAAATTGTTTTTGGCTCACTTGTGAGATTGAAATTTAGATTATTGATTCATGAATTCTCACAGCTTCAGAAATCAATGAGACTGATGGCCCCAAAATTTATGTATTTATCCTATTTTCCCTCCATAAATATAAAAGAATATATAAGGCATAAAGAAATAAAAAGTCATGTACACACTACTCATCTTAAACATATAATAGCCCATTTTCTTTTTTTATTCTTTTTATATATACATGACACTTGAATGYATTTTGACATACGTACATATGTACATGGAGTATATAACTTATTCTAATTAGGATCTCATTCTTGTGGTTGAACATGATGTGGAGTTACACTGGTCATGTATTCATATATAAAAATAGGAAAGTTATGTCTGATTTATTCTGTCTTTTCTATTTCTATCCCTCCTCCCTTTCCCTCATTCCCCTTTGTCCAATCCAATGAAGTTCTGCACCCACCTCTGCCTTATTGTGTATTAACATCTGCATATCAGAGAGAATTTTTGGCCTTTTGGTTTAGGGGATTGGCTTTTTCCACTTAGCATGATAGTCTCCAGTTCCATCCATTTACCAGCAAATGCCATAGTTTCATTCTTCCTTATGGGTGACTTATATTCCATTGTGTATATATACCACATTTTCTTTCTTTCTTCCATTCATCTTTTGAAGAACCCCTAGGTTAGTTCCATAGTTTAACTATTGTGAATTAAGTTGCTATAGACATTGATGTGACTTTGTCACTATAAGTATGCTGATTTTAAGTCCTTTGGGTATATACTGAGGAGTGGGATAAATAGGTCAAATGGTGGTTCCATGTCAAGTTTTCTGAGGAATCTCCATACTGAATAGCCCCATTTTCTTATCAGTGGGGTAGGCCTGTAATCCCAGTGACTTTGGAGATGGAGGCAGGAGTATGGCAGGTTCAAGGCCAGCCTCAGCAATTTAGCAAGACCCTGTCTCAAAAAATTATTTAATTTTTTTTTTTTTTTGGTAAAAAAGCTCTGGAGATGTAGCTTAGTGGTAGAGCACCCCTGGTTCAATGTCCAGTAAAACACACACACACATACACACACACATACACACACGCAAAAAAGATTTCTGGTAAATGTTTTCAGTGAGTTTCTCCTGAAATAATCCTGTACATTTTGAAGAATGTCATTGGAATTGTAATAGGTAGAGTGAAATATAATCAATTAAATCACAGAACACAGGAGTTCTAAGAGATACTCCATGAGGTCTTTTGCATACACCTGACTTCCATTGTGCCACAGCAACCCAATTTTTCCTGATTAGTCAAGATCAGTCACTAGGCACTCTAGGGAATTCCCTCTTTGATGGTTAGTCTGCTTGGCAATGAGGAGACCAAGGTAGCCATGGGACAGTCTCAACTTCCATTTTAATGGAATCACTGGTTTGTCCTTTGGTGACTTTTATTTATGGATGTGTATAAGAAGTGCTGCATCATCAGTATTCTTGACTGCTTGAATAAGGGTATTATGTAGGAAAACATGGATATCAATGATTGAGTTGAAAACTAATTCAGAAATTTTGGACTCATCAAAAAGTTAATACCTTAGTCAGGGACTGGGAACATAGGTCAGTGGTAGAGCACATGGTTAGTATGTATGCGATCATGAGTTCAATCCTCAACAACCCCCCTGCCACAATTTTTTAAAGAATACATAAACAGTTGATTTCATTTATATTTTTCTCTTATTCTTTGCACAAGTATTCAACATAATAGTCCCTATCTAACTAAGTATAAAAAAGCTCTTTTAGTAACTAGTGAAAGTTGTAAATACCAGGAGCAGTAGCATGCCTGTAATCCCAGCAACTCAGGAGGCTGAGGGAAGAGGATCATAAGTTCAATGGGGCTGGGGATATGGCTCAAAGGTAGAGCACTTCCTTTGCATGTGCAAGGCCCTGGGTTCAATCCTCAGCACCATATAAAATAAATAAAAAAGTTATTGTGTACAGCTACAAAAAATATATAAAAATATTTTTTAAAAAAGTTCAAGGCCTGCCTCAGCTATTTAGTGAGACCCTGTCTCAAAATTAAAAATAAAAAGGACTGGGAATGTAACTGAGTGGTAAAGCACTCCTGGATTTAATCCCTAGTATTAATAAACAAATGAGTTTTGTGATAAGAAAATTTATTACAGCTTTAAATGGGCCACTTTGTTTCTTTCTTTAGTTTCATAAACTAATAGTGTGTCATAAAATGGATATGTCTAATATTTGATGAAATATGGCACATTTCTCTATACATGTTCATAAATTATTTCATTTGATCCTTAAGTAGATATTGTGAAGTAGAGTGAGCATTATTATTTCCATAAGGCAATGAAACAGTTAATTTTCCTTCTAGTGTGGGTGAGGCTATTTTGTCCTGTAGACTTCTGAACGTAAAAACTTAATAAAGTAGTTCAATTTTTCCGTAACATTAAACCACAAATTTAAACAGTTTCACCTAGGACCACCAAAAAAAATTATAAAGATAAGTAAGAAAACTATTAGTGTTGTAACAAGGACTTAGACTCCACTTTTGCCTGAATAAAAGTAGGATTAAAGATGTGGTATCCATTCTACCAAAACTGTTATACAGATTTAATACAATTCCTATTAAAATTCCAATGACATTCTTCATAGAACTCGAAAAAGCAATCATGAAATTCATTTGGGAAAACAAAAGACCCAGAGTAGCCAAAGCAATCCTTAGCAAGAAAAGTGGAGCAGGAGGCATCACAATACCAGACCTTAATCTACACTACAGAGAAACAGTAACAAAAGGGTGTGGTATTGGTACCAAAATAGACCTGYAGACCAATGTTACAAAATAGAAGACACAGAGACAAACCCATACACATATGGTTATCTCATACTAGACAAAGGCACCAGAAACATACATTGGAGAAAAGATAGCCTATTCAACAAATGGTGCCTCGAAAACTGGAAATCCATATGTTGCAAAATGTAATTAAACCTCTATCTTTCACCCTGTACAAAAATCAACTCAAAGTGGATCAAAGACTTAGGCACTAGAACAGAGACCCTGCACCTAGTATTAAAAATAGTAGGCCCAAATCTTCATCATGTCAGCTTAGGACCTGACTTCCTGAACAACACTCCTAAAGTACTCAGAAAAATGAGAAATTATATCCCATCTATGTATGATACATCAAAGTACATAAATGCATTCTACTGTCATGTATAACTAATTAAAATGAATTAAAAAGTAAAATTAAATTTAAAAACTCAATAAATAAATTGTATATGAGCAGATTATATATTTTTAAAAAAAGACTCCTAAAGTGCAAGAAATAAAATCAAGAATCAATAAATGGGATGGACTCCAACTAAAAAGCTTCTTCTCAGCAAAGGAAACAATCAGTAATGTAAGAGAGGCTACAGAATGGGAAAATAATCTCCAGGATCTATAAAGAACTCAAAAAACTTAACACCAAAAAAACAAATAACCAAATCAAGTGTGGTCTGTCCTAAGGGCTAAGGAACTTAACAGACACTTCACAGAAGAAGAAATACAATCGATCAACAAACATGAAACAATGTTCATTATCTCTCTAGCAATTAGAGAAATTCAAATCAAGACTACTCTGAGATTTCATCTTACCCCCATCAGAATGGCAATTATTAAGAATACAAGCAGTAATAAGTGTTGTCAAAGATGTACAGAAAAAGGTACACTCATACATTGCTGGTGGGACTGCAAATTGATGCAACCACTATAGAAAGCAGTTTGGAGATACCTCAGAAAACATGGAATGGAACTACCATTTGACCCAGCTATCCCCTTCCTCTGTTTATACCCAAAGGACTTAAAATCAGCATAATATAGTGAAACAGCCACATCAGTGTTTATAGCAGCTCAATTCACAATAGCTAAACTATGGAACCAACCTAGATGCCCTTTCAACAGATGGATGGATAAAGAACATGTGGTACATATACACAGTGAAATATTACTCAGACTTAAAGAAGAATGAAATTATGGCATTTGCAGGTAAATGGATGGAAATAGAAAATATGTGAAGTGAAATACGCTAATTCCCCCAAACCAAAGGCCAGATGTTTTCTCATGATAAGTAAATGCTGATCCATACTGGGGCTGGGGTTGTCGGG